TCAAGAAGAAGAAACACAAGTATACAGAAATGGCACTTCTGTAAGATTAATGTAATTTGTTAATGTGTACATATAGGTACATACAGCGAGGACGTCGAGAATACGTTCAAGTAATGTTTGTATTATTTATTTAACGATCAGCATTTTATGTATCGTGGAATATTGAGTTGCGAGTGAACAAGATCCAACGGGTTGAATGATGTGTTTGCTACGGGCGTGGATTGAACGAGATGCGTAGGCGCGGAGCTTGAAGGAACCGAGGAATCGAGATTTCTGAGCTCATTCGACGCGAAACGACCAAAAGGGAGTGAAGCAAAACCACATATCAGGATTGTAGGAATAGTAGAACATTAGCAAAAAAAGAAAAAAGAATGAAATGAAATGAAATGAACTGAAATGAAATGAAATGACATGTCACCTGTATTTGAATTTACAATTCGAAACGAACGAAAGGGAAATTCAAATAATTTTGTAAAGGATAATGGAAATAGGTCTTGAAGTAATAAAACATTACATTCAAAGTGATCACGCTGCTGTAATAAAAGACAAACTTTCCGAAATCTTGAATGTTCCCGAAGTAGCTTCACCGTCGAGTAACGGACTCCCGGGATTTCACTCGATTTTCACGATCCAAATTAAACATAACATTCATCGACCAATCGTTCAATTATTAACGATTAATATGCGTTTTGCATAATTAAAAGAGAACAGTTACGCGGCCGTTGATGGTATGAATAATTTATTGATTTTTCTATATGATACAATTGTATTATTCCCATAGTAGAGCTTACATTTTATGATACAAAATGGATAAAAAAAGAGAGATCGATTGATCGATCGTTATAAATAGGAAATTTATCTCTAATTGCGCTGCAATTTTAACGAGTTACAAAACTAGCGTATAAATCTGCCCGGTACGGTCAGTTTCGCGTATCTTATCACGGTAATCTCGAACGGAAACAAAAGAACATAATTTTCATGTTACTATAGCGATAACAATAGTGATAATAATAATATTAATAACGATATTAATAATAATCATGAAAAATGAAGAAAACAGAGAGCTGGATCAATAGGCGAGATGGAGTTCAATCGCAAGCTTGCCGATTATGTCTCCGGAATTTGGGGTTGCGTGGAGGGCGTCGATACGCTGAACGCAGCAATGAAGACGTTGATGATCGTTATGAGGAAAACACCCACCACGACGTAGTTGTTGATCTTCTGGGCGCTGAGAGAGTTCGATTTCCCTTTAATGTCGAAACGACCCTTGAAGATCAGACTGACTCCCACGGCGACCTACGCATTCATATTTCAAATCAATATCATCCATTCGTGGACACTGGTTTATTGCGCATGAAATGCTTTTTTCCGAGCCACAACGATGTCGTTCAAAAATCTTGGTTGTAAATTAGAAACATTTTTTTAACGAAATTGGAATTCTGTTTGTGAATATTTGTCATGGAGCCTTGCGAGCCGCATAATTCAGCATTGAGTGTCAATTTCTATCGAACTATTCGCGTTCGAACTATTATGTACTGCTAGGAGATCACTTGATGACTAGGCTGAGGAATTCGACTGATCGATCAGTTCCCATTTTTGCTTATCCAACTTTCTGTTAGTTTTATTTCTCAATTCCTGATAGTTTTGATCATTAATTTACTATTCGTCGACACAGTTACGTGTAACTAATCGAAACTATGAAACCGTAAACTAAAAAGACACCTCTTGCCTCTGTGCTGTTCCGCTAGACATCGAGACATCTCCCAACTGTACATATGTCTACCCAGGGTTTAGAAAGCATTTAAAGTATCAGGATGCAACAAAAACTGTTAAAGTCTTGGAACGTTCAAATAAAAGATGGAAACGATGTGGTTGTTCTCGGGAGGTCCTTACACTGCACGAGCGCGTTCTTTGTACACACTGCCACTCGACCATTAATTGTTGCTATTAGACTGCCAGTGATCTTGCGGATTCTGTTTTTTCAACCTAGTCTCTTTGTTCAGAGATTGAAACGTTCAAAATTTCTTCGAATTTCATTAAAGTTTCTTTTACTATGCTTTCTAATAATTGTGGATAATGGAAACGCAAGAAACTCGCAGTATGATTGTGACCAAAGTTCATATTTACCATCTTGGATCCTTATTTCAATGAAATAAATGAAGGAGGAAACGTGCAGGTTTGTACAAATTCTCGGTATTAAAATTTCGAATGTCAAGATCAAAATTAACTTTGCAGCAACATTTTTCAACGAATTTCTACCGGTTTAAAGGCGTAATGATGGTTGTGACGTCTAACTTTAATATATCTCAAGCAACAGGATCTCAGCTCTTCTACAATATCTTGCTATGGTTTCTCTGCTTACCTGCAGCGCTAAACTGATTACGATCAGGCTCAATATGATGACGAAGGTGGGGCTCTCCTGTTGATACTCGATTAGATACCTCAGTTGATTCGCGTTCGCAGTGATTAGGGCTACGTCCATCATCCCCTGGGCGACAGTCTTTTTCGCCGCGAACGTGTTCGACTGTTTGTACTTTTGAGCTTTTTTGTCGGTGGTGTCGACGGAAGGGTCCTTGATCACCACCTCCTCGACCGCTTCCAGTTTGTCCATGTCCAGTTTGTCCATGTCCAGCTTGCCCATGTCCAGCTTGTCCTTTGCGCCCTTCTCATCCATGATTTCCATTTTTTCCCCTTTCTTTCATCAAAACCAGTCTACCACGAGTCTGGATACTTAATCTCAATGGACCGGCACACACGCGGATGGACACCAAGGATGAACAGCGCGTAACCGATTCCGCGATCGTCTGGAAAATTGAACACCGTATCACCCTGTTGATGTCCTCTATCGCTGCTCGAATCTCAATAAAATGACGATGATTGATCGACTGACTCGAAACCGACGTGCCACGTGACGATGCGTTATCTGGAGAACACTGGGGCATTCGAAGGTGACGATACCAGAAGTGAACCCAATGGAACCGTAACGGGAGGTATGAGTCTAGCTCGCGACAAAGAACATAGCGGCTGCAAAGAAGTGGCATCGGGTCTATGCGCTAAGACTGCTGTAGCCTTTTAACACGCTGACAGGCAAACGAATGTTCAACAGAACGTGTATGCAGTCAAAACAGTTTTCTTGATCCTATTATGTAATTCTCAACTATGATCGATGCAACTACTTTGCCATTAATGGTTGATTGAAATGAGAGAAAAATTCTAGGTATATTTTATGCCTATGTTCGCTCTGAAATATAATTATTGATGGCAGAGGAATAATATTTCATTTGAATTTAAAATTCCTCTTGAAAAAATAAGTTGAAAATACGATTTATTATTATTTACAAAAATTGTTTCTTGAAAATAAGATGACTAATAATTTGTTTCAGCACTGAATATACTTCTTATACCTAATAGATATAGACCTAACACTGAATAGACTTTTTTCTCTGTTGGCGTCCTTATTTATAAACATGAGCAATGTCATGGTTCCCTTCCTGTTGTTGCTACTGTTTACAACCGCATACAATGTATTACGAAGATCGCATAATGATTCACTTCAAAGAGAACAACCACTAAAGACACAAAGAAATCACTTGCCACGTATCATGTACCTGCATTGACGCACGCGAATCTTGAAAACTAATAGTATTGTCTGTAAAGAAGTAATTTATTAGATACAAAATCAGAGTAATGATATGTAAGTACGCTCGTCGTAAGGAAAAATAACTAGTAATGACAGAAACCAAATAGTGACATTGCTCACGTTTATAACTACAAGCACACACAGAAACGGAAGTCCGTTAACCACTTCCATGAGACTTTCAGCCTCGGCCTATATTTTGTTTCATTGATATGTATTTACAGATAAGGATAAAAAAAGTTTTACGAAATATCAAATCAGCATCAGCAATTTCGTAATACGTCGAATGGCCACTGATAGCTTCAGAACGTATTATAAGAATACCGATTTAATGTGGTAGCGTTTTAACATTAGACCATCATTTCAGATGATTCGTTCCATAATGGCTTATAACAATTAACCATAAAAGGACGATTTCAGGCATAAGAAAACAATGTGTTATATATACCAATTATCACCGAATATAAGTATCAAGTACTTACACTTTTGATAATACTATTACTAATATTATTAGTATCAATTTGCTTGCATTCGATTTACACATTTGCTCTTTCCCTAAAAAATGAAGCTGTACAGATAGTTTTATACCGCACTTTCGATTTACATTTGATTGTACCAAAATTTCAAAGATCATCACAATTGCATTAAAATTAACTTTTCGTGACACGCAACTCCTGAATCATGAATAGCACCAAAACCACAATGTTCGTCGAAATAGTCTCACACACTGATCAAAATGGCAGTATGAATTCATTGTTTGTTTCAAAATAATAACAAGAACTTCTTGACACAACCGAAGAGTGTTTGCAGATTGAAACCACATTGCAAATACGAGGAATAATAGATAAATTAGGTTTGCAAGCCGCAAACATTTCGTCACAAAGTGGTAACATATTCACGTCGGGACATGTTTCTATACGTTTAATCGTACCTCGTAATAATAACAATGTTCGCAAAAATAATGTTGAAATGCATTCGTTTGTTACGTCTTTAATCTTCTGCCTTCATTTGCTAATTGTGGATAAATGTAAATAAATAATTTAATAAATAATACATTTAATATTGATTTATGTTAATGCTATAAATTAGGTGTGTACCACCGGTGGTACATGCCAATGTGAACGTATTAAAGGACCGCCAACGAAGCAAGAAATGTCACTTACATTGTCACTGTTCCCGTAAGATTCTAAGAAGATCACTGTGTATTCGTTCCGACGAGTACTCGCGCGTAGTACTCGGACTGCCTCGAATGGAAACCTTGTTAGACGAGAGTTATCGTGTCGCCGACCAGGAAAACAATAACGACGGCTTATATTGTGCTCTATATTTGAAAAGAATTCCCCGCGATACGGTGTAACGAAACCACAAGTGACGTGCCACCGAAAATAAGGAAGCGTTTAAGGACAATAGACTCGTGTATACATGCCCGTATCAATGGAAACGCCGCGGTCTTCTTATCATTGAACCTGTGACGCGGCGATTTGAGCGATAAACAAACAGGAACATAGAAGTTAAATTTGTGGGACTGTGGTTAAAGAGGGTAATTAGAGCTTTTAGTTGTTCTTCCGATTATTTTTAGATTGTTTTGAATTATTTGACATTGTAAATGTTTCGTTAACAAGCTGGAACATTAATTTGTGTCTTTTTTTAGAGATACGACAAGAATCCGTTGATTGCAACTTGAATTGACTAATAGATTCTGATAACCGATAAACCATGAGTCAGAAGGCTCAGTGCACTTTTCTTACACTTGTTCATTTAGCGGACGCATTCTTGAATACGATTCATTGTTTTTGTCAGTGAAGCCGATACTCGAGTTTTCGTGAAAAACGTTTTGATGAAAATGAAAAATTCGTTTTAATATTCGTCAAGTTTGGTTGCATAGTAGATTAGCTTGACCGCTCGTGTTTACTTCATGCAAGTTGCCACGCGCATTCACCTCCTTATCGGAATTGTTGCGCGATATTTCATTATCCGTCGCCGAGAAACTTACCGATCTTTCATCAGAATTATTTCGGTGTCTCCGTTCCAGCACTCAAAGTGTATAATTAACGCAAAGCGAGCGCGTCGGTGTTATTTCACCAAGCCGCGATGCAAGTGAGTCAGTTCACTAAGCCAGGCCGTAAATAATTACCGTTTCTCGTTTCTCACAATTAACGCTACTCGTATTCGGTTGTCAGTTGTTAGACTGAGTTATAGATAAACTACTATCGGATTGAAATGCTTTTGTTTACCGTCCTTGCATTTCTGTCCGTTTACTTACAACTGTAAAAATCCGAACATTCACATCGTAACAATCTATAGAATAAAATTAACATAATTAATTTAATTATTTAATTAGGTTTTAATTAACGTTAAGTTGGCAATAAATGGTAATGGTTATTATGAAATTTGAAATGGTAATGTTATTAGATTTTCATTGTTTCGACGTAATTATTTTTCATTAATGAGTACGTGATGCAGAGATTGGTATTTACATAATTTATAGGCATTTATGATTCATATTATTTAAACCAGGATAGTGGTAAATTGTGGGGAGGTCGTTTTAAGAAAACCGTCGACCGAGAATTCCATGATCTGAATGCATCCATCGATGTTGACAAACGCTTGTACGCTGAGGACATACAGGTTCGTATATGATAATTGTAACATCATTGGCTGTCTTTTATTTTCAAAAAGTTTGTAAGAATTCTTTAAAAGTATATTTGTCGCGAAAGTAATTTTATATGAATATGTAATACATGTAAAGTATGGATGTATGAACATTAATTGAAAATTATCTGCTTTTTCAACAAAAATTCAAGATTTGTCCTTGAATTTGTGCATCTTTCTATTCTGTGTCATTCCGAAAGAATTTTCTTACACTTGATATAATTAAACGTTGAAAAAATGTATATCTGCGCAGGTATCATCGATAATGTAACAATTGAAAAATAATGCATTATTTGTCATTGTTGTATTGTTTACCACTATCTTTAGGGGAGCATCGCATATGCGAAAGCGATACACAAAGCTAATCTTCTCTCTCAGGAAGAATTACGAACAATAATCGAAGGTCTTGAGAAGGTATTTAAAAAAAGGCAACAACATAATTGCTATACACACACTTTTTAATATATTCCAATGTTAAACACATCATAAAGTTTTCCATTTTTCAATAAAGAAATACTATTTTCACGTTAGAAAATAATTATATAAATATTGTAAAATAACGAATAATAGTTATAAAACTATTTATTATCTACTGAGTCGAGATAAAAATATGAAATATAAAAATTGTGGCAATAGCTCATTATTTAATAATGAATAAATTTTCTGCATGCTTTATTCGATTGGTTATTTTTATTCAAACAAAATGTGGCCCAATTTTTAATTTCATAAAAACAAACGTTCGCTATAATTAATAATTCGTATGACTGAAAAAATAGAGTAAGTTTTATACGAAGAGATTTTCTTTAAAAGGAACAACATGTTGTACAGGTGAAAACTGAGTGGGAAAAGGGCCAATTCATCATACACGTTCAAGATGAGGATATTCACACTGCAAACGAGCGTCGGCTTTCGGTACATTGTCCATAAATTGCATAAATTAAACTTTTATGGTGCATGCGAGTGTACATAATAATGAAGGAATGAGAATCTTCTGCAATTCTCTACCATGAACCTGATATAGGAATTTCAGTATTATAATGTTAAAATTCAAGTATGGAACAACTGTATCACTGTTTCTTATCGTATAGCTACCGGAACTACTTATCACGTACTAATACGTTTTCCTGAATCAACTGTTGAACTACTTGTCTCGTAGTAGTGTGTACATTCGCAAAGCAATTCAATGTCCTTTTATCTAAAGAACAGATTACAACCTGAAATAAAATCGTAGGAAATTAAAAGACAGCTTCTAAAGTGCTGGTATTTAAATGTATTACCGACTGATTGTATAATAATATTTTCAACAGTAAAATCATTTTATAAATTATTACACTCTTTTTTAGAATAGTTAACAAAGTTATATATCATACAGTGCTACGTTGTAATTAATTAGTTTCAGGAGTAATTATTAAACGTTTCCAAAAGTTTATAATAACACAATATCTAATCATTATATAATATTACATTATAAAATTAAAATTACTCGATTCTATGTGCTTATAAAATCAAATTTTCATATACCAAGGAACTAATTGGTAACGTAGCTAAAAAATTGCACACCGGAAGAAGTCGGAACGATCAAACGATAACCGATACTAAGTTATGGCTTCGGAAATCTATAGACGAGCTTTTAGAGAAAATGACAGGATTCGTTCAGGTATGTACTCTTAAAACTTGATTTTTCACAATCGTATATATAATTAAATAATACAGGAAGAAATTTTATCACGTAAAATCTTCTTTTCCAAAAAATCAACTGTAAATGTTTGTTAGCTACATTCAAAATTAAATAATTATTTGTCAAATGGATTTTTCAAAAATTGGAACTTTTCAATTCATTTTCGTGCGAAAAATCACCCTTTTGTGGATTATACAACGATTTCACAAACTTCCTGTATGGTACGTCCACAATTAACAACTTAAACTAGACTTCTATTAATAGATTCTAATTAATCGAGCTAAGAAAGATATCAATATCCTGATGCCCGGTTACACTCACTTGCAACGGGCGCAACCGGTTAAGTGGAGCCAGTGGTTACTTAGGTGAGTTGTCAACAATAATAGCACATGGTTATTAAATCTATTTTCTTCTAAATCTGATTTTATTCATTTTTTAGAACATTATTGTCTATCTATCGTACCCTGTTTCTGCCATTAACCCTTTGCCCTATGATTTATTTCTTAATTATGATCGATACAGCTACTTTATCATTAATAATGTATTGGGAAAAGAGAACATTTTTATGTTTGTTCTTCGACTACGTTTGCTTCAAAGAATAAAGATAATAGAAAAGTAATATTTAATTTATATTTTTAAAAAACTAAATAACAATTAGATTTTCTAAATTCAGTTTCAAATTTTCGTCACGAATCTGGCACGATATTGTAGGTCAAGGAGTTAATAAGACTATAATTAGAAGATTAATATACTTCCTAATTAACGGCTAAATTAACGGATGCACTTTTGCGAACACGCAGTTACGCCTGGTATGCAAAAGTGGATATTGAAAGATTGGAAGATATTCGCGGCCGGTCGAACGTGTTGCCTCTGGGTAGTGGTGCAATAGCCGGGAATCCTTTCCAAATTGATCGTCATTCCTTGGCCAGCAATCTCAATTTTTCCAAAATAACCCAGAACAGCATGTATGCGGTTGGGGATAGGGATTTCGTCGGTAAGTGAAGACCATTGTTGGCCACGATTTCGTGGAATGAATAATACATTAAGATTTAAATCTAAACACGGGAAAACATGATTAAGTTAGATTACCAACTAATTAGCATTAGACTTCTAAGACAAAGTTATTGTTAAATAAAATTTGAAGTACTGGAGTACGGCAGAGTGGAATAATTAGTTTGTAACGCATGTATACAAAGTGAGTCACCTCGGAATCGGTAACTAGAATATCTCAGTTGTTCATACGGAAAGAAATATTCGGTTTAATTTCGGAGAATAATGGTACTGAACAATAACGATTTATTCGATAGTTAAAAAATGATTACCGATGTATGAACATAATTCTCGTTTCAAGCTGAATTCTTATTCTGGTCTACGTTGACGGCGATCCATTTGAGCCGGTTTGCGGAGGATCTCATCATTTACAGCAGCGAGGAATTTGGTTTCGTGAGACTTGCCGACGAATACTCAACCGGAAGCAGCCTGATGCCACAGAAACGCAATCCGGACTGTATGGAACTAATTCGCGGGAAGTCGGGCACGTTACTTGGAAAAGTTTGTATTATGAACCACTATAATATTGTTAAAAAGGAATACGTTAATGAATATTGAAGGATTCTTTCTTTAATCACCCTGAATGATGGATTTTCATTGCCAAGATGGTTGTTTAATACTCGACGTTTTAGTGCATGGGCTTCATGGCGACGTTAAAAGGAATTCCATCGACCTATAACAAGGACCTTCAAGAAGATAAGGAAGCTCTTTTTTCTACATTCGATACTATAAATAGTATGATTGTTATTGTTACCAAAGTATTAGCCACTGTTGAAGTGAATCAGCGAAAATGCGTAGATGCTCTAGCACCTAGCATGCTGGCAACCGACCTGGCGTATTACCTTGTCCGAAAAGGTGTACGTAGTCGATTTGCAAGAAATAAATATTTGACACTGTAAATAAAAATATTAAATAAAATAAATAATAATAAAAACTTGTGCAATCTTTTTATTGCAGATTCCATTCAGAGAAGCGCACCATTTGGCTGGAAATGTTGTGGTCCTAGCGGAATCTCTTGGGGTATCAATCTTTGAGTTAACTCTGGAACAATTGCAAACCGTAAGGTAAGTGTAAATACTTCCTTCAATTGTTCGAGTGTTGCCGCAAATTTATTCAGATCATGAATGTTTATGACTCTATTTTACAGTCGAATCTTTGAGGACGATGTAATGAAAATATGGAATTTTACTAATAGCGTTGAACAATATCGAGTGGATGGCGGGACAAGCACAGCGGCCTTGAAAGAACAAATTAATAATCTTCAGTCTTGGCTGCAGCAGTCTAACCGTGTTTAATATTAAATGGCACTCAAGATAAAAATTTATATTTTAGATAAACTGTTTTCTTGCATTTGTCTTGCAGAATAGTAACAAAACGGTATATCCAAATTTTTTTTTGAGAATTTATTTTCTTCTGTACGAAAACAAAAATATTTTTGGTAGCCTTCATACTATTCTATACATTAAGAAATATTAACTACAATTTATATTATATTAGATTAAAAAATGTTTATTTCTATCCAATCAATGGTTTCAGTCTAAAACTGTATTGAATCTCAGTCTTGAGAAACCATTGTAATCCGAATTATACTATACTTCTGTCGTCTTTCTTTCGATTGTTTTCACACCCTTAAAGATGATGTTCTTTCCTTACATCTCGGATGAACTAAATACAGAAATAAATACTTTCCACGAATCCCGAAGGATAATAGTTTAAAACGAATTCCATGAAATAGTAAGCGAAGCCAGTCAGCTTTAACGCTGAATGCATTGTTCTTTGACATGTGTTGACGCGAACTGAAAGTGCGGTGTTGCGAATTATGCTGGTCGAGAAAATAGGTTATGCAACAATCATATACTGGGGATACAAATTGACACGCAATGTTATATACAAAATATATAAGAATTATTATTCGTCGCCGGCCGTTGATTTGTACTCGATGGGTAAATGGGCAGTGATCACGGGGTGCTCCCATGGCATAGGAAGAGCGTATGCAGAAGCACTCGCTAGACTAGGATTGAACGTGATACTGGTGAGCCCGGATACGGAAAATTTGAAGACAATTGCGGCCAGTATCGAGATGATGTATAATGTGAAGACAAAAGTAATCAAACTAGACCTTTCCGACGGGTTAGACGCATACAATGTGATCGAGAAAGAGATGTTCGGCTTGGAAATCGGTGTGTTGATCAACAACCTAGGCATGTCTTATCCACACCCGGAATATTTCCTCGATCTTCCTCACAAAGAGAAAATCTACATGAGTATCGTTCATTGCAACGTGGTGGTGGTTACGAACATGTGTCGTATCTTGCTGCCGCAGATGGTCGTTAGAGGGAAAGGTGTGATAGTGAACGTAGCCTCGATGGTGGCTGTACTACCGAGCCCTCTTTTGACCGTATTCGCAGCTACTAAGGCATACATCGTGAAGTTCAGTAGGGACCTGCAAATTGAATACGCGAAACATGGTATAATTGTGCAATGCTTATTGCCGGGAACAGTAACGAATCACACGTTATACTCACCGAGGCCCGGATGGATGATTCCCACGCCAGAAAAATACGTTCAGAGCGCGTTGAAGACTATAGGCAAGGAAAATGTGACCACTGGTTTCTTGCAGCATTCGATTCTAATTGTGGTTATTAAATTGATGTATCGAATATCGCCTAATTCCATTATCATTTGGATGATCAATATCATGGAAGGGAATCGAAATAATGTGTTGCGTCGTTACATTGGTTAATTTTGTACAAATATTTAAATATATGATTCGTAATGTAAGGAGGAATTTGACAATTTATTGTAGCGTAAAGTATCACGTTTTTCAGTTATAAAAAGATGTTTTTTTTTATGTATGTGAAAGAAGTGGGAGTATTTTTAACGTTATTGATATTTAAATTTAAATTTTTTATCTTTTTCTAGCACTCATACCTTTACGCATGCGCATTGTAGTTGTCAGTGGCAATGTATACAGATATATTATTGTCGAGCATGCAATAAATTAATATAAAATATTTAATTACATGATTTTTGTTATTTTTTGTTATTGCTGTACACAGACAAACTTAATGATATGTATATTAAACTGTAAACACATGTTGTCACTTCACCTATATAAGTTATATGACTCATGTAGTTGCAATGGAGCAGTACACTGTTTTGATTACCAGTGTAGATATTCGCACGTGCTATAGTTTACGTTTGTCATAACTCCGGAATTAGCGAAAATTGTTACATTTTACTATACTATTATTATTTTCCGTTATTTAAATTGATTCAACTATTGTTTATAATTTGCTTAGAATAAACTTGAATACAATTTTGTCTTACATTTCATTACGTTCTACATTAAACCTAACCTAGCATATAATTTGTATTTGACACTTATAAATAAAATTATTGTTTCTGATGTAAATAGATTTTATTTTTCTTAATAGTTAAATATTTATAAGAAAGTATATGTTTAGATTTTGTTTAAATCGATTTTATAAACGAAATATGAGTATTTTCACTCAATATTTAAATCCTCTGATTGGTACTATTAGTTGGGAGGAAAAAGATGAGAATTATGATTATCATCAAGAAGTGGCCAGATCTGCATTTGCAGATATGTTACATGATCATGAAAGAGTTAGTATTACATAATAAGTTTCAAATAATTTATTTATAATACAAATAAAAAGGACTAATTTTATTATAATTGTAGAATCATAAGTACTATCTTGCGCTCAAAACTGCAATTGAAAGAAAGCATCAAATGGGAGAAGAGGCAAATGTACTCGATATTGGATGTGGTACTGGTTTGTTATCGATGATGGCTGTTAAATGTGGAGCTGATACTGTAACAGCATGTGAGGTGATTAATGTTTATAAAACATTTATTATCATTATATTTATAAATGTATGATTAACATGTTTATAAGCTGGAAACTTCAAGGCAATTCTTTAGGTTTTTACATCTATGGCTGAATGTGCCATAAAAATAATCAAAGAAAACAGTTTCGAAGATAAAATTAAATTAATACAAAAGAGATCTACAAAAATGACAGTGGGAAATGGTGGCGATATGCCTAAAAAAGCAAATATTTTAGTCACAGAAGTATTTGATACAGAACTTATTGGAGAGGGGGCTCTTTCTACATTTCAACATGCTTATGAAAATCTACTTGAAGTATGCATATTATACTTTTAAGTTTACATATATTTCTTCATGTTTATGATTTACAACTTATTTCTTTTATTTTGTCAGGAAAATAGTATAGTCATACCACATAGTGCCACAATTTGGGCACAAGTTGTTGAGAGTTCTGATGTTCACGCATGGAACACAATACAACCAATTAAAGACGAAAGTAGATCTTTGTTATATACACCGCATTGTGTAAAGTCATGTTTTGGAGCAGCTGCAGTTCATGATATACAGTTAACACAATTTCCTCATGATGCATTTAAACCTTTAATACCTCCTCAACCTATATTTAGGTGGTTGCATATTGTAAACTAAGATAATTGAAAAATATATAGAATGTTTTAAAAGGGGAGAATTATAAACTTTCAGAGAATGTAGTATACAAAAAATGAAAGGAAGAAAGAAATCTTATTAATTTAACAAGGAATATTTATTAAGTTTTGTGGTTAATTATGAGGTGTACTACATTCTTCAAAGATTTGTAATTCTTTTCTTGAAACATACTACACTTAACTGATAGAGAAATATAAAGTAAATGTTTCAGGTTTGATTTTACTGGCAAAACACCTTTATTATATGATGAAAAAGTATGTTTAAATGTGAAGCCAACTTTAACTGGTACGGCACATGCTATTTTTATGTGGTGGGAGTTGAACATGGATGTAGATAATCAGGTAATAATTATACATTGAGCAATATACTGAGCTTATTACTAAATATATTTTGAATAGGTTCTTTTAAGTTGTGCACCTGTTTGGGAACATCCTGACACAAAGAAATTACGACAGAAAGGATTAAGCCTAACTGAGATAGCAGACTTGATACCATGGAGGGATCATTGGATGCAAGCTATTTATTATTTACCTGTAGAAACATCAGTTGTAGCTAATCAAGAAGTTAGTCTGATTGGTTATCATGATGAATATTCTTTATGGTTTCAATTGATAAACGAATCAGTGTATGTCGATTTAAACGTTTTATCAATGTATTTCGCTGTTTTGTGACTACATTTCATGGCTGTTTATTTTCAGTAATATAGTACCAGATTGTGAAAGGCCAGTCTGCACTTGTGGTATTCATGTAGCTTATTCGAGAACACGTATAGGACAACTAAATGATCAAAAACGAAATGAGAAATACATTAAGGCACTGGCGAAGAAGGTTACTTCAGATACAATTTGCTTATGTTTGTCAGATGGTTGTTTATTAAGTCTTGTTGCTGTTAAATTAGGAGCAAAGAAAGTATTTATTTTAGAGACAAATTTTTTATCCAGAAAAAGTATAGACATGTTCATCGACTCCAATGGACTATCAGAAAAAATAGAAATTATTGAATCAATAAATGATTTGCCTTCAGAAAATGACATTAATTTAATTTTTGGTGAACCATACTTTCTTACATCAATTGTGCCATGGGAAAATCTTTACTTTTGGTATCTTAGTTCAAAATATTCACCTCAAGTACAAAGAATACCGATTGGAGCAACAATATGTGGTGTTGCTGTTGAATTTAAAGATCTGCATAAAATACGGGCTCCGCTTGGAGTTTGCGAAGGTTTCGACTTATCGCTCTTTGATGAGCTCGTTCAGGTGAGTTGATATTGATAAGTGAGTTATTAGTAGGTGCAGGAAAGAATGAAATTTTTAAAATAATTTTTTAGGAATCAAGCGAAAAGAGTGATAGTCCAGTTGAAGCTCAACCATTATGGGAGTATCCTGCTAAAGCATTAAGTTTGCCTTTTGTTCTTCAACACTTTGATGTAACACAAAATATCAATGAATGCAAAAATATACATGTTTTTGATACCATTCCTATTTTAGAGTAAGATAGTTTTTATATGCTTTTTGTAGAACTTATATTAGTTTAAGAGTCTATATTGTATTGAAAATTAATTTTTGTTAATTTAGGAGTGGATTGTGTAATGGTGTGGCTCTATGGATAGATTGGCATTTAGATTCTGAGATTACAGTATCATCAGGACCAAAAAGGGAAATAGAGCCCGGTAAACGAATATCATGGGATCCATTTACAAGACAAGGTGTATATTTATTCAGACACATAACAAATGTTACACAACAAAGCGTTCTTCAATGGTCGTTTGACTTTGTACCGCAACATGGAAATATTAAATTTGATTTTCATATATTGTCAAAAACTTTGAAATAACCTGACGCAATATTTATAAAAATATGTGTTTATAAATTAAAATTATTCATTGTTCACCTAATTTATTTCCTTTTATGAAATGCTATTCCTTTACACACAGTTATAAAAAATTAAACATTTGCTATAGGATGAATTTCTTTAAATACCTATTATAACTATTATTTGATCTATTACTTTGAGCTATTAAATGGAAATGTTACGTAGATTCTTCAGGTAACATGCGTAATTGCTTTGCTAACCGTCGTCCTATAAGTTTAGGATAAGCTTTCTGTTTAATAAGAAATTCTTTGCTTTGATGAGTTACAGCACCATTTTCTAATTGGAATCTGAAAATGTTATCATCATTAATTTTATAAATTACATTTTGTATTATAACATTGCAAACTTGCCTGCAAAGATAATGCAATGGTCCAAGCATTTTATTTTTCAAATCAGGATCACCTTCCAAAATAGAAAGCGCAAAAGCACCTGTTTCAAGTGTAGATAAACATCCTTCAGTTGGTTGAGTTCTAATAACATATTCGCTTGTTGGAACTCCAACTAATTTACATGCTCTTAAAAGGCAAAGTGCTGGACTTGAGTGATATATTGCCTACAGAAGTACATAAAATAATTAACAAGTCTTTGAGAACATATAGGACATTTCAGTTTTTTTCAAAATGCTAGATAAATAGGCCTTTCGAAACTTTGGCCTTTTGAAACAATATAATAAAGTATAATACAGTATTAAAGTAATCAAACTAACATAATCACTCAAATAATATAATATACTTCACTGAAGAATACCTTTGCTTGGGGCCAAGTACCATCTAACAGAATGAGATTATAAGGCTTTTGACCATTTGTACCGACTGGAGTTAATTTATCAAGCGATATAGCATCAGGAGATGGATATAATAATATAGTATTTTTATCGCTTAAAATTTCTGTTAGACCATCATGTTTGGATAATGGAAATTTTTTGCCTCTAAAATATAGCGTATGGATTAATATCACCCATACTTATTGGTTCATATTTTACATTAGTTACCTGTAAATTATGCATTTCCCAGGTTCCAAGCCTAGAGCAAGCATAGGTGCAGTTCTTAAACAACGTTTTACTTCAGCAGGGTGTTGTAAGATGATTATTCTTGATGTAGGACACACTGCATGTTTCGGTAATCCAGGACACCAACAGACTGGAACTGGCCTCCTAGAAATTTATGAAATATTTTACTTAACATTAAATCGAATCTATATTTTTAAATTATGACATCTTTTTATTACTATTTCACTTTAAGCGTATAATTTATTTAAAAAATACAAATAGCACTGAGCTATTTAAATATAACCTAGCATTAATTATTTACTTACTTGCATTGTAAGCATTTATCTCTTGTCTCTGGAGGATCTGCAAATATTTCTGATAATTCTTGCCACACAGTTTCTTCGTTTGTCATAATAATAATAATAAAAAATATAAAAGATATCGAGAATTGAAGGTTGATAAAGGTGTACGCATAATAAACAATACTAGATACTGTGACATTTATAGTAATCAAACATGTCCTAAGTAACTTATAAGTAGGAAAAAATATATTTTCTTAATATCTAATATACGTTAAACAGCAACGGTTATGTGTTTTAAAACTATAATATTTTCAGAAGATAAAATTTAATGCTTTTATTCTATGCAATATGTTGTATTTGAATTTCCCACCACGTTCAATGACATCATTAATCGAAGAATCTATGAGAATCGCAAGCTGCAGTCGAAAGCTCCATAGATTTTAAAAGCAGCTATATTCTCAACGCTAAAAATTTTACATAGTACATACAATGATGATAAAACAAAATGATGCTTAATATTATATTTTTAACTTCAATATTACTTATATATAAAAAATAATTTTCCTTATAAAAGTAATTAAAAAATAACAAGTACGATTTCTATACATAACTGGTAACAAAAGTTGAAGATAAAAAAATGATTTAATGTTTTTATTTGAAAATATTTTTCTTTCTATTTTTATAGACTTCGTCTGTGTTTTTTCTGTATCACCGACGAAATACAGGATAGGCTGGACATGCAACGTAAATTTTTGTTCTACGACCAAGAGGTTATGTAATCCTGTTACCATTCCAATGTCACTTACAACGTTACTGACAGACAATAAATAAATACGAACACCGAAAGATAAAAAGGATTCCTATAAAATTAACATTACCGTAGATACATTTCTAATCTTCGTTCAGTTTCCATACGTCTCTAATAGAGAGCGCTGATTGAATAGCTAGTACTTATACTTACTACCGGGTGTTTCAGAAAATATAATCAGGTCCTTTAGAATATGTTCATAAGCAAAACATTGTAGAAATGAATAATAAATATTTAATTATATTTTATTATATTATGTTGAATATTCAAAAAAATGTCCAACTTTTTGTTCATATTTTTAACAGATTAGATCTGTTATATCAATGAACTGTGTGCCTTTATACATTTTAACAATACTAACTGTAAAATTATATAGAGACAATTTTACTGACCATTATATTAAAATAATGAATTATTGAAATAGTAATGAAACATGCTGTTGTATTGAAAATATAAAAACTGTATGAACTCTTAGATATTTAGAACATTTGAATATTTATAAAACTGTTGGGGAAACCATCGAAAGATATCTAAATTTCATTTAATACGTTATCCCAAAAGTTTCTTTCATTCGATTAATACACGATGGATGCTGTTATGACTAATTTTTCAAAATTGTTACTAGGGTAAATATTGCAGGTACAGCGAGAAAAAACTTACAGAACAACCTATTATTTATTCTCGTAATCCTTGATTGTAATTATCAGTGCTAATTATAACAGATAATATGTTAATTGATTTTCCGTTGATACTAAAGTAGTTTTTCGGTGCTGTTGCCAAGAAAAACTAGGGTATCCATATAAGCTATAAGAGGCGGTTAATAAGCGTGGAACGGAGAGAAGAGAATTACACCATGGTATCGGAAGGCGAGATCGTGCCGACATCGCAAAAAGCGGATGACGCCGGTATTTTTAATGGGAAGCCGAAGGCGAGTTGAATAGAACAAGCTTTCGGGGAGTGAAGCGACACTCAGTTTCTTTGATCAATAATGAAAGTTCCCTCCGTCTCGGTTTCGCGTTCTTCTCCCATTTCACTGTCTCCTTTGCCCTCGAGCTATTGGCTCGGTTTTTCTTTTCCTTCATCCTTGCGCGGTCTCTATTTTATCTTATACATTTTTAACCCTTATTCCGGTCCCTCGCGAGGAGGACGAGTACGCGGCCGTTCACGAAGGCTCAAAGCGAAAGCCAAGTTCTAACAAGCCTCGAACTGTGCACCCAAGGCCCCGTCTCTCTCCCTTAAATAATCCACTCTTCAATCCATTCGTACGGAAGCCTTTTTGTAGAAGCTCCGATAGCCCCTATCTTTGGGGAAGAGGATCTCAAAGAATTTGAAGCTTTCAGTGGACTCCTCTTCCGGCCGGATGAATTGGAAGTTTATACATCAATTATTTGTTTTAACGTCAAATATTTCTCGAATTTGAACGTCAACAACGCAATAGGAGATAAGTAACAATTGATATGAAAGTAAGAAAAAGATTGGATTGGAATGAGTATTTCAGCATTTCATAAAGTAGAAGGTTCTTACAAAGAAATCGCGGAACTCACAAATAGAAGTGAGTCTACTGTACATTACGTAATTGAGAAGTTAAAACTGAAGGAAATGTTGTAAATAAAGCTCATACAGAAGAGGTTGTCTAAATAAGAGAAGCTTATTATACGCGAAATAAAGAGAAACTCCAAGATTTCTGCTCTAAAACTTGCTAAGATGATTACCTACTTGAAGTTTGGGAAAGGATGTATACGCCGAATTGAATTGAATTGCGAAATTTATGAATGATTATGAAAAAAATATTAACCATCGCTGAAGATTGTATTAACAAAGACAATACCGTCTGAAATGAAGTCATTGTTTCAGATAAGAATAAATATAATATTCTTGGTCCACACAGGAAACATTTCACACGAAGGCAGAGAAGCATAAAACTAGAAAAGCGAAATCTAATGGCGGCTAATCGGACCAACAACATCTTGTTTCGATCGACGGAATTTAAAGTAAATAGAAATACCTAAACAGTCGGAAACAACACTTTGATTTTCAGCAGGATAACGATCCCATGCATTCTGTTTCAGGAATGGTTACTGTACAACGTGCCTCCATTAAAAACACCTGCACAGGAAAATATCATATTTCACGAATGTTTTCGATTTACTCCGATACGATTCTCAGCACGCCAACCGCAGGAATACACGTTTTCAGACAGCATTGTGCCCCGAGTTCGAAACATCCCAACAAAACGAGTCTCCGGCTTTTTTTTCTGAGAATGCACGGCTCCATTGTAGCCAAGTCATTTCCTTTGACACGGGCGAGAACGAGGAATAGAAACGGCGCCGTTGTCTTCCTCGACCTAATAAAAACCCCCAAGAGATCGACGAGGTTGGCATCGGCTTCCCGTCGTTTCTTTGCAGTTCTGTCGAACGCCCTTGTTCGCGACGGTACAACGACCGGTGGGGGGTGGAGGGGGCGGATTGGTGTCCT